CAAGACGGCGCACAGAATGGAAATTTACATTTTTCAGCCAACGTCACTCAACGTGTTCTGGGTTGAACCACCCCTGTTTCCCAGACATCCACAAACTGAAGAGCTTCTGAAGAGTCGACCAATGTCATCTTGAGTCACGTTGTTTGGCTCATCATTGAGAGCAGCAATGAGTACACTGAGAATGGTGGGTGGATTTTGACGTTGACGGACACGTCTGTGAATGACGTCCCAGATCTGTTCAATAGGGACTGACCGCCTCCGTGGTGTAGTGGTTAGAGCGTCCGCCCGGAGAGCGGAAGATCGCGGGTTCGATCCCCGACCGCGTCATACCAAACGACGTTAACATATGGTACATGTTGGTCCCTGCCTGGCGCTCGGCATTAATGGGTACAACAAGGACTGGTCGGCTCGGAGTCAGTATAATGTGTCTGAGTGGGCTATTCATGCTTCACTGCGGCATGGTATCTCAGTGGGCTAGCATTATAAAACCAGCTTCAGTCTGGGCTAGTACAAGCAGCCGCACATACTCATCCATGCACGTCATCATATGATCGAAATATTCTCAAGCACGACGTAAAACCCAATTTCACCTCACCTCACCTTCAATAGGGACAGGACTGAGTTCTAATGATGGATGTGTTGCTGTTGCGGGAACTGCGTCACCGTCATGAGCATTATCGTCTTCCAAGATGATAAGCTTCCTACCATTGGTGCGAATGTGTTGAGTGTATATTGTACCGACCTGTGACTCTTATATGACAAACAGGGAACTCAGAGCGGCTACCCATTGTGATACCATCCCACTAAATGATGGACCTATCCCCCAAAACGATCACGCTTTGCGACGTAAACGTCAATACCACGCTCATTATGCTACATGCTTCATGCATGTACTGTGTGTTTCTGTCTTGTTTTCTTCGCGAATATGTGTTCTTACCACATCAATCACTTACTTCAACTTCCAGTCATGGGTATGTGTTCACGTAGTTTCAGCTCAAGACAATTTCCCCTTTTTATTCATAGTATATTTAACTGTCGTTTTTCAGGGATCAATTCATTCATTAGAAAGTATTAGAAACGTTGACAAGGTATTGATAATTGGAGAATTTGGGCAGCGTCAGTGCCAAACTGGACTGAATATACAAACATGGCTACCGGGCTGTCATCAAGTATCTCCAACGGAAAGGATCAACTACAATTCGTTTTATATATTACAAGTTCTTTGTTCAGGGGTATGTAACTGAGGTCACATCTTGACAAGAATGGACAAACTCCTACGGCTATCTAAATGAGTCACCTGTGGATGCTCTATGCTGTGCCACTGTTAACGACGTGGCCATGGGCAGCGCAGTTCATGAGATGAAGAGAGAACTTCGAAGATGATCCCAAATCCAAGACCTGTGCCATTCAGCTGCCACTGCTATAAAGGTCGCTTCATGCATGATATCACAGTGACTGATCGACGGCACCTAACCAATACAGCTGGCATCTCTCACGTGAGAGTTGAGAATATTCTGAAGAAAGAACAGTGCATATTTCAGCAGCTGGATTCGAAGGCATCTGACTTTGATAAAAACGCCACGTTCATCTCTTGTAAGAATTAACGTCCTTTGGAAGCAGACCTACTATAATTTCTTGCAATCGGTAACCATGGATTTACCATTTCTGTTAAACCTGTCTGTCTGATTTACCATTATCGACCAAAGAGTGATGGAAACACAGCGGAATCGTCTAATGTCTTCTCCGAGTGAGTGAATATGGTTTTACGCCGCTTTTAGCAATATTCCAGCAATATCACGAAGGGGACACCAGAAATGGGCTTAACACATTGTTCCCATGTGGGGAGTCGAACCCGGGTCTTCTGCTTGACTGTCTTGTCTGAAGAAACGGGCAAAGTCTATTCCATCAGCTGGCAACGTGGTTGATGGCTTCTGTTTTCTGGGTTTCGACACGAATCCTCCGTCGTCACTTTAGTCAAGGATAAATAAGCCATGACGTGCTTAACCGCTAAGTTTATATTGGCTGCAAACCCACTTTCAGTACACGGATTCCAGTTTCTATTTTGGGACACTCGGTACCACAACTATCTACACAATCCTTCTGCTGCTGTCGATGATCAGGATCCGTTTCCTAATTGACCATGTCATCGTTTTTGGTATGCAGAGCAATCATGAATGGCCATAAATAAATATTTACTGATTTAATGTAATCCAAAATATAGCATATGTTACATAGAGCAATAACACCGTGCGGTGCAAGGTCATTGACCCACGTTCATATACGTACGAACCGCCCATGTAAGGAGGTTTTAAATGGACTTTATTGATACCGCCTGGGATTAGGGGTTCTGCCCGCCCGGGGGCGTTTTGTTATAAGAGGGGAAACACCGAAGGTTTGCTGAATAAATTAAATAAAAAATATCGAATTGTTGTGTACTTTGCACGTATATTGGTAACTGATGATGATTTTAAAGGGTACTCATGTTCTGGGGAGGTGTGTAGTGGTGTGTGTGTGTGTGTGTGTGTGTGTGTGTGTCGTCACTTTGAACATACTTCTCCATAAAAATCATCCTCCCCCCTAGCCATACATTATGAATGGTACCTTAATGTACTCACGTCAAACATACAAACTACAGTTGTTTCAGCAACACTTGTTTATTCCTGTCCTATTTTGGGTGTCAATTACAAAAACTTCGTGCAGGAATGTTACATCCACCTTGTCTACACATCTATCTACATAGACATTGTACAGTGTGGCCATTTTATTATTAAATCATGTTGGGATTTATTGTACTGTATGTTAGAGCGATATTTTTTACAAATCTTGAAATATTTAGTTCGACTGTCTTGGTGTGTATAAGTTGTGGTATCCCAACCGCCATAAAGATGCTATATCTTTTTTCGAAAATGCTAATATTTGTTTGTCAGGTCATCGCCTAATCACACAGATGTCTGTAGGGGTGCCTCACAGAACAACATAATCGCCCGAGTATAGAACTGTCAGTAAATAATGTGTTAATATAGTATACATATTACTATTAATTTTTTAACTTAAAAACTATCCACATAAGTCCAGCAGTTAAGATGCTAATAAACCAACAATTAAGCACCATTATTAAGGCATTGTACGTAGAAAGTAGGAATGTCTCGATATACAAAGGTTGCTGAAATTCATCTCAGTTCATATTCCAGCAATATCACGTCGGGGGAAACCAGAAATGGGTTTCACACATTGAACCAATGTAGGGAATCGAATCCGGGTCTTCGGCGTGACGAGCGAACGCTTTAACCACTGGGCTACCCCACCGCCATGCACATAGTTTATCACTGGAGTGAGTGAGTGAGTTTAGTTTTATATTCCAGCTATATAGCGGCGGACTGTACAAAGTCTGGACCAGACGATCCAGTGATCAACAGCATGAGCATCGATCTACGCAATTCGGATACAATGATACGTGTCAATTACTAGTAAGTCAGCGAGCCTGACCACCCGATCCCGTTAGTCGCCTTTTACGACAGGCATGGGTTACTGAAGATCAATTCTAACCCGTGTTTGTCCAGCTCCAGAGGTTGCAGACTGAGTACTGGGGGCTGAGCTGTAACACCCAAGCAGTTTGCTCAGCTGTCTTATTTTCTACGTGGCTTTATTGCTCTGTCAGACTCAGACTAGTTTATTCAATACTACAGGCCTTAGGACCTAAGGTACAATTACAGCAGAATTTTGTCACGTGGATGTGATATAATAAACAAAACTTATAATTAAGAACGGCGTGCATTAAATAGATGCTTCAAATATAATGATAGTAATTTGATTGTTTGTGGATTTTGTGAAGAAATAAGTTTGATGAAGTACATTTGTTTGGCACAACAGAAGTTAACCAAGGTAAATATTTCATTAGAAGTGCAGAATATTTTGGACAGGAAAATAGTATGTGAACTTCATCTTCGATGTTGAGATCCATGCAATGTTCACAGCAGATGGTATAGTCGTACTGTTGTTTCTCCTTCCTGTATGCATTTACCTTCAGATTGTTCAATGCTATTCTGAATTTACAGAATGCACGTACCAAAGACTTGTCTTGGAGACAGGTAATATATGTTTCTGTGTTAAAATCAGTTTTATATTCAGAGTATAATGACAGATAACTTGAGGTAGACATAGACAAATGCCAATCCTGGATAAAGATATCCTGTAACCTTTGTCTGGAAGTGCTGATTAATAACTTCTCGTCACCAACTTGTTGTGATAACCAAGTCCATGCGAAACCTGTTGAAAAGAGCAGAGATCTAACCTCTGACACCCAGTTATGTCTTCCATTATCGTCTAAAGATTTGAGAAGAAGGGTGGTTCTGCCTTGGATATCTAGAGGAGTCCATTCGTAGTAGTTTCAACCAGTATTTGATTACTCTCATTCTGGTATACACAAACACACTTCAGCGACCTGTTTCACCCAATATTGCTTTGTTTGATGCAAATTTCCCAAAAGATATAAATCGTTTAAGGAAAGAGGTATGGACCTTTTCAATTGTTTCATTGTATAATGTTCCCCATCTCGGAGCCATAAAGAAGGATTGGTAAAATCTTGCAGTCGAAGATAGTCATTGCTGTAGAGAACGTCATTGCTTGGTTACGTTTAAATAGCTGGTATACTGGCCTTATTGCTCTGTCAGCATATATAGTGTCCACTGCTGAAATTGTACTGTTACCCTTTCTTAAGTCGGTCTTAGACCTGTAAAGTCAACCCTTGTCTATGCATAATTTGTTTTCTGTGCGTGAAACAACAAACTGCAGCTACAGAGATTCAGCCTCTTTGTGCATTATGTGTGTAATGAGCCATACACAGCAACAGGACTGGTATGTAGATCTCTGTTCCACACTTCCCGGAACCAGTTCATATTCCCTTCATGGAATCCATCCCATCCTGTGATGCAAAATCTCAAGCAAACATAGATTTTGCTCAGATTCTGGGATCTGAATTCTCTAATCTCACCGGGATCATTTCTTTCCATCAAAATGACATATTTTCAGAGACAAAACTTTAGTGCTGTAAAACTCCCTTGACGCTGGATGTTTGTAAACAAACGCACGTGGCTCAAATCCTTTTGCGCATCTTACTGCGCACAAATGTGACGTCATGTCATGTGCTTTCCGGTTCAGCTGACTGGCTGAAGTGAATCACGGTGAATATTACAAAACCGCTATCGCTTTTTGACCAAGAGTTGACCGATGAATAGGTCATGTGCTCCATTTAACGTCAACACAATGGAGGATGACAAGGACCCAATCTTGTCCAACTCGACGGGTAATGTCAGCTATGGAGCTTCTGCAAATGAAACGACTTCCGAAACGTCTGACAGCGTTGTTGAAGTTGCCGAAAATATTGAGACTGCGCCACAGTTAAGATCCCCGTTTTACTGGTCCCTGTCGCGAAGTTTGAGTAATGCCGGTGCCGCCTATGTCCAAAGTGGATCAACGAGGGAGAGGAGGGCGGCGGGCAATGCCAGACGAACACTGGGGACATTTGCTGGGGTGTTTTGTCCAATCGCCTTGTCCATGTTCAGTACACTGCTGTTTTTGAGAGGAGGTAGGTAGACTTGCCTGCAGCTGTCAATCCGCCACTCGGTCCAGTAGTCGTCATATTAGTCATGGATGAATGAACGCTGATGTTTTAAATCGATACCAATTTCTTTAGAAGTCGAGATGTCACATTTGTATGAATATTAAACGGGGTATTTAGCATGTTTAGAAATAATTAACATAATACTAAGTTTTGTTATTGCATAAAGGATTTTTAAACTTTTAAGTGTCGTGTCCTGTCCTATATATCATGATTGTGTGAGGAGGAAACAATAGATACTGTGGTCTTTATAATCAACAGTGTTGTATTACTTGTGTTACAGTTAACTGATTTATAAAGATAAGACCGTTGGTCAAAGCTGTTCTTTCTCAGTTGAATGTGTTTCTTGTTATTAAAAAATATCTGAAACACAAGGCGAGACACGAACCAAATATTTTTCAATACCAGTATTTAAGATCAATATCATGTCCTCCTTGCTTCATGAAATAGGGCCCGTAAGTACAGACTCGTGCCAAAAGTATTTGTCACTTTCGCGTTGACGTCATTTTGCATAATGCGTCGCACTTCATTAAACTGTATTATATTTTTCTCTCTCTCTCTATATATATATACATGTTAGGTTGATAAATGCTGAGACGGAACATATCTGAAGTTCATTTCATTACAAATGAAAACATTAATGTCGCACACTGCACTTTAAGTTTCACTGCCTATTATTTTTATTTGCCTTTTCGGAGCACCTTTAGAATACAGCACCACAACTCCTCGTGAGGACGATCTCTGCCGTAGGTCACATGTCATTAAGACAAGCAACCAGTTTGTGAGAACCTGTCGGACGCGAACCCGCGACCTTCGGATTGTTAGCTCGACAGCTAACCGACTGAGCTACGTCCACACTGTTGCACAATGTGCAAATTTATCGAGTCATTCCTGTGACGTCACGGAAATGAACGGAAAGAGTCGAATAAGTCACGGACAATTACGAATGCTACGGGTAGACTTGGTGTCGCGTGATTTTATTCTTCGGACACTTGCCGAATGGATCCGATGCCATTTGGCACACTCGTCCCATTCCGTAATCTGCAAGATAACGTGTGGCGATGGAATGAGCCGATATGCCTCAAACTGAAAAGGGTTGTTGGCGTCCAGGCGTCAGGCGTGGATTTCACGGTGCATGCATGAATGACGCGCTTTTATATAAATCGGTGATTTTGTGACAGAAAGGTGATGTAGGGAACACTGTAAGGATAATGTGGATCGCACTAAGGAACGAGGGAGACATGAGCATGTGTAGTGACGGCACGAGGGTGAGTTAGCCTTCGAATCATTACTGAACAAAATTTATTTTGCTTGTGAAAGAGGCTTGAGTGCAAATTCCAGGCTCAATTTCCATTAGCCCAAAATTTCTACATTAACCCATTTCATAATGTACTTTCGACGTTTTTGGTTTCCCCTTTTTGTGTGAAAAAAAAGTATTAAAATGCAAAAAAGAAAAACAACAAATGGTACTCACGTATTACACCGGACATGTACCTGCTATATTGGATTAAGTCCCTAACCCTAACCCTAACCCTAAACCCTAAACCCTAAACCCTAAACCCTCAGCCCTAACCCTAAACCCTAAACCCTCAGCCCTAACCCTAACCCTAACCCCTTGAAATAATCCTAATAAATAGAATGCATTGACCGAACCACCGGACAAGTACCTACTATATTGCATTAGGTCCCCAACCCTAACCCTAAGCCCTAACCCCTAGCCCTAACCCTAACCCTAACCCTAACCCCAATCCCTTGAATTAATCCTAATAAATAGAATGCATTGACCGAACCGGCACAAACACGACTGACTAGTGTAATGCATTATTACCGCTTCGAAAAATAAAATACTAATAAAACACTTTTCTATGTAATGGTGCAAATTACTGAATGACAAAAAATATATATGTAAATTTAAAAATTACAAAATACAAAATACACAAAACATAACACCTCAGCAGCCCGTAATACAAATAAATATGAGCGTATTAGTGAAAAAAGAAAAATATTTCAAACTGGTGCTTGCAAAATATTGAGCATCCGCCGGTATACAACTACTGGAAACTCTCAACATCGTTGGGCTTATGCAATGACATAGCTCGTAGAGATGAAACACCAGTGAGCGGAGCTTATACGCACTCGCTGAGCCAGACAACCGTGTTGCCATGCAGGCGTCATAGGGCATTGTATCGAGAACGTGCTTTCGAACAAAATCACATTACATTACGTAAAAGGGTATTATGACGTATTTTTAAAGTTTGTGGTGCTGTATTCTAAAGGTAGGCCGCCTTTTCTTGAAGCAGCAAGGAAAAAAGGCATCAGCCTTACAAATTGATCATTAAATTTTCACCCCTGTCTGACTCACTACCAAACACCCCCTGATAATATAATATCTGATATTATTTTCCCCTAATATCTACGTTGCCTCCTCCCAACAATTCATTCATGATTCATCAAGTTGATATGATTATGAATCACATCCCTTGACAGTTAATGGGTCTATACACAGATACCCCGCATAAATAGTATAAAATCAAACTTTATACACAGATACCGTTCATGAGTAGTATGAAATTGAATTTCGCACCTACCTCTCTATGTGTACAATTGTGCAAATGTACATACACAATATGTTACCGATAAATATTTTTTGTGGCTTGATGCTAATTGATTTCCTCAGACCCAGTATCAGGGATTGAAAACAGATTTTGTAGGTGGTATAAATATCTCGGACAATAGGATTACTTATCAGAGTGAAGTAACCTGCCGTTAGTCAAGAAGGGAATACTGACACAAAATTGTTCTTTAAGTTGAAAGCAAACTGGAATTTCTTCTCATCCTAAACCCAGTCTGGCGCTGGTTTTGGGAAGGTATAAATGTTAATACTATTGATATATTTTGACCAAATTGAGTTTGTATCTACTCAATAAATACGATCTCATTACCATACATAGTCTATTTATTGTATTATACAGGCATAGTTTAATAGTGTCAACAGTCAGTATGAAGTAAGGCGACATTATGGCTTAACCATGACTATAGGTTGCATTGCTTGCTATGTGTTTCCTTATTGACCAAGTTGAATAGGGCTCCCAAGTGTATTTGGTGTTCTCGAATTCAGGAAAACTAGAATCTGTTATTGACAACTCAAGTATTTATTAATGGTTGAGGGGTAACTATGATTCACTTTTTAGTGAAGGCATAATAAATGGAGATAATGAAAGATCTGTGAAGTTAGAATTAATCTCCAGCAACCCATGTTTGTTGTAAGAGGTGACTAACAGGATCAGGTGGTCAGGCTCTTTGACTTGCTTGATCTTGTCATTGTATCACTATTCTGTAGATCGATGCTTATGAGTCACTGGATTGTCTGATCCAGACTTGATTATTTACAGACTGCTGTTTCTGGAATGTTTCTCAGTATGGTGTTAATCAAACAAAGTGAAAGTTTAGATAATGAAAATAAAACACAGATGGGTTTACATATGTTCTGTTTAAGCCAAGTTCAGTATTATTTCCTTCTATTTTATTCTATTTTCCCATAAAAACGAAACATAATCGGGTCCACTTCCTTAGAGTATAGGACCTCTAAATGCTGCAGTGTTGACTGTTACATGTTGTTTCCGATGTGTATAATACATGTCAAGTGTCTGTGTCTAGTTGTTTTTATTGGCATTCTACATAGAAAACAGTCTATGTCTATGATTTAGAAGATTTAGGATTAGCAAGAATTAGATGATGGAGTGACATGTTGCACAGGGTCATTCTCACTTACCCACCACCCTAAAGTTATGATAAGGGATTAAAGAGGATTAGTGTACACGGGTTATTGATTACACTTTCTCACCGTGAAATTTGGTCCTGGTGGGTGACACTAATTAGTCTCATCCAGGTGAACGGTGTTCACCGTTCATGAACTGAGGTTATTGACTTGCTGTTGTTGCTGATTTTTAAATAAATTTAGTGAACACTCTTAACCATCACCCTCACTATATAATGATACATATGATCGGTTATGAAGTCAGTCACGATGGCTAACCAACAAGTGAATGTCAAGTTCATTCCCAATGGTAGGGGCGGTCAGTATTTGATTTTCCAGAATTATAGGTTCACAATTAAGAGAAGAAGAGGTACGTCCATCCATTGGAACTGTGCCAAGAAATCCTGCCATGCCACGGTTAACACCAGAAACGCAGTTTCTCATATAACTGGGTATTGAATAGTATGAAATGTATGAAATGTGTGAAATGGATGAAATGGATGAAATGGATGAAATGAATTGTATATTTGTGCAGCACTTAACACACAAATAAATTGATTTTCTACATGTATTTGTCACACCTTCTGAGAATCACAATGATGGAGGGGACCTTATTTCACGGGGAGCAATAATGGAGGGGACCTTATTTCACGGGGAGCAAAAACTAAGAGACATCTATTGTGTAGCAGCTTATTCTGCTTCAGTGATTTGCCCACCTAGAACAATAGGTGGTGGGTAAACGAGAAGACCCCGTTGCACATCTCCAGGATGTAGTAGTCACAGTATAGCTGCATGATCACACCTGATATGTCCTTGAAGAAAGCTTTAATGTTATCTCAATGTCACATGGTACACGAATTCTTATCCTGATAACCATTAGGAAAGGGAATGTGTGATGAAGTGTTAAAATAGAAACAGGTTATAAGGGTCTTTATTACACAGTTATGGATGAATGATTATCACTCAATGGGACTTCATAAATGGGTAGCTGAACAAAATGTTCTGAGATATCTCTTTCATACATAATGAAAAATATATGGAGTTAAAGCTAGGGACAAAGCAAAATTATTCCATTTGGGACATAAACTTCAAACTCATTTTGTATCCTATAAATTATCTTTGTCACAAATGGTAATGATACTTTAAGCCTGTCCTCTGGGATTTACTTGCATTGCAGAAATATTACTGTTTGTAAATGATGCGAATAGGG